ATGTATATGGTGGGCCATACAAGCAGCTACTTGAGAAAGTAATTGCTTCCTACGTATACAGAATTGGTCACTTTCGTAGGGCTGCTTCCAGATCAATGAGATGTGCAGTTGGTCACACGTCAGTTTTGAATTTTCACAACCAGCTTCTTTGGCAATCTTTTTAAAGTAGGCCTAAGTTTGTTTACATTGACACCTAGGCCTAGATAGGAAAAGTCTTTTAGCATTCCATGATAAAAAAAATGTCTGCTGACTGCTTGTAATGGAAAAATCACATAGATTTACAAAAAAATCAATATATATATATATATGTGTCATAATTAATTACTTTGTTGTTAGGTTGGTTGCATTGTTCGCTGATCTTATTTCTGTTACATGCCTGATGTGCCAGTGATAATAACTAACTAATGCTTGACCAGATTTTACCCAGCATTTCCATATCTTTGTAATGGAATGCTGTGTATAGATATGGGCCATAGGGAAATCAGCAGCTAAACAAATCTATCTTTGACAGCCAAGCCCAGTTCTATTGAGAAGTAAAAATCTATCAGACATGGGTCATATGCTAATAACAGTATTGGGCATTAACATCATTCATCTCAATATGTCTTGATCTAACTTGGCAACACAAATGTTTATTGATACATTCAACAACGCAACCCACTTTGTGCGTGGTTGGACTATAAATGACATGTTGGCCCTTCAGAACGAATACATCTGGTATTTATTTCGAAGGATGGCTTAAGTGTTTTTGCAGATTTGCATTTGAATATTTCATAAGTATCTGACAAATCCTTTTTTTAGGAACCAAAGTTATGTGAATGCAATCAAGCTGAAGATAATATTATTGCCTTAATACTCCAAAAGAAAAAAAGTCTTATTGTATATTATAAGTGAAGACAAGCAGTGCATGTGCCACCTATATCTGGAGGATTATGGGATATGCTGCTTAGGCAGGTATGTAGGCCAAGTAGAAACAGGTAGGCTATAACAAAGAAATTAGTATGTAGCCCACCCAAGTGCAATATTTGTTCCAAAAGGTTCTTCTGTACAGAAATGTAATTAATATGCCATAAACATGGTTTAGGGGTTTTGGAAGGACATAAATCTATCTTTAAACGAATAGAAATTTCTTTTGAAGGATATATATATTTTCTGTTTTATGTGCTTCTGGTGTGAACTTTCGTTTTCCACAGTTAAATTACTATTTTACAGCATCTTTATTTTTCAGGCAGGTCAAGTCAAATAAAATCTCACCTTCCAACTAGATAGTGTTACTACTAGATGTCATTTTACAAAGACTAGAGGAAAAGTGAAGTGTCTGGAGTTCAATTGTATATTTTAAGTTCTAGCCTGTGGACTGATTTCACAAAACTGTACTAGTTCGAGCAATATTTTCATATTAAATATAGAAATTTTCACTAAACTCAACATCAAATTTATAAACTCCAGACTTTAACTCATTTACCCCTGAAGACACATTTGAACTCTTCCAGTTCAAAGGTTGGAATAGTTCATTATGAAATTTCAGGGGTGAATGAGCTTATTGGGCTTCCGTGAAAATCAAACCCCTGCCTAAGCACACAAAAATGTAAGGGTTCACCATATTAGTAAGACAACAATTTGAGTAATATGCATTTCAACATTTCATTTCTCCAATCCCTCATCTGTCTTCAGGAAAAGATTTATGAAATTTTAGGGACTTTCACTCTATGAAGCACTATACATACTCTTGGCTCAGAACACTCTTTTTCTGCCAGTCTTCAAGGCCTTCAGCTAAGGTACCTACATTATTATTTTTCTATTTAGAATTGCTAAATTTTGAAGGATGTAATCATCACATCAAGTAAAAGAATACAGTTGAATTATAAAACAGACTAAAAAAAGAGAAGTTTTGATTTTTTTAAAGAAAATAAAGGAATATTGTTTTTGAAAAAATTGCAAAAAGTCGCAAGGGAAATAATGTTATTCAGTTACTATATATATATATATATATGAAACAATGCAAATTCACAAAAGATAAAATCCTGTGTTATTGATTGATTGGTTTTACGTCCTCTTCACTACCGAGTAGTTCGGTTATCCAGCAAACGAAATTATTAGAATATATCACCTTTTATACCTCTCTGAAGATTTTCAAATCGTTCGTACTGATGTGACTGCCTGATCAGAGTCTTGTTAAGATACTGTTGTTGTTGCAATAATGGCAGTTGAGTCCTGCCCTATACACATATTTTGTGTGTCAGAAAAGTAATATTAAACTTCCAACTTATTGACAGTGGCTCAAGTTTAACCTACTTGAGCTGGGTTTTTTTTATTAATCCGTGATCAATTGTAAATAGGGGCTTATGATTTCACAAAAGTGTTTGTGTCCATTTACTTTGAAAAGGAAATTTTAATAAGAAATAGATTTTCTTTCTTTTGCAAGAAAGCAAGGTTTAATCAAATCTTGCCTTTACCCCTTGTAATTTAAAGTGCCTCCATTTCATCTTGTTTATGAATATCTTTATATTTGTGAGGTGTTCTGTTCAGTTTAAACGTTTTTTTTATAAATAAAATTGATAAATGCTAGATTTAATTTCATGCCTCAGAAATTTAAATCTCACTCTCAACTCCTTCGTTGATGCCTGTGATTTATGAGCTGTGATCAAACATAATTTGAAAATTGGAATTTCATGATTCAAGGTGGTATACCTTTAAGATATTACGCCTACAACAAGATTTAAATAATTTAGGAACTAAACGGAATGTCATGTTGGCTTGTCATGGTCACTGCAGGGGTAGGATGATCCAGTACCTGTGTATAACCTGTATACAAAAGAAATAAGTTCAGACCTGGCAGAATGAATAATTTGTACATCCTGCCATAGCTTCGGAATATTCATTACACGATTATCTTAGCGAAAAATGACTCGGCTTTAGCATGATACATGGTTAAAATATCAAAATACTTCACTTTTGAGACAGTTGCCTGAACACTTTCTAATGCTTTAAGTACATTGTATTATTGGGTATACAACCGTTGTCAGTATAATGTGACCAGGCAGAATGCTGTGGTGCTGACTGTCTTCGGCATGGTGTTTCAATGAGATATAGCACTATAAAGTCTGCATCAGATCCGCGCTATTACAAGGAGGCAAGTACACAACATACCCTGTCTCCAGCATACATACACACATGCACGCTTACAGTTAAAAACACACAGAGGTACGTCCTTAAATAACCTTATATTTTAATAGGACGTTAAACAAAATAAAACCAAACCCCTGTCAGTCACTGCCTGCCCAAGGGTATGGTTAATACTCAAACAAATTAGTGTCCAAAAAATTAACCTGTATTTTGGTTCAACTTTAGTGATAAACTTCACAGAAGTACAAATTGTATACCCATTGGATGAAAAAGAATTGTATTAAATTTTAGAGTCACAAGGTCAAAGTTCAAGGTTACAGTTGAATAAAAAGCATTGTTAGAATAGCTTCGTCTTTGAACTTGAAAACTTTCCAGAATGACTTCTATCTGTAAGATCACCAGCTCTATTGAATTTGAGGTCAAAGACCAAGGCCGCAATGATCCATTGCATTGTGCATTTGTTTACGCATGGAACGTTTCTACCAATGACATTTAAAGTTAAATGGGATAACATTTTTTTGGTAGTCAACAGGTTAAAAGTTAATGTCACAGTGACCCATTGTGGTAATATTGTTTCTGGACACTAAAATGTATTTCAACCTAGCTATGATCTTGAAACTTGAAATAAGTAGGTCACTGTGACCTTTGCTTTGACCTTTGATGAGAACCTTTCAAAAAGGTTGTTTGTGGTTTATCTTCTGTACTAGTATTTCACCTGGAGTAACCAGATTTGTATGCAAGAACATGTGCATCCTCGACACTTCAGGGGTTACACTCACTTTCGCTCTCTGCACCCCTGGAACATGTCATAGAAAAATTGAAGGCTCAGTGTACACCACCTGGTGGACGAGACAAGAAGACTATTTTGACCCTTTGATGTTTATCAAAAGAATCTCTCTGTCACATTTTGAAGTAGGGTGTCACTCCTTTGTAATCTTCAAAGTACAGGTATCAGCCTGGCGATTGGTCATTTTTTTTTTACCCGAGACCATGCAATCAAACAGCTATCTTGTGCCTACAATTTTGCTATGACATGTTCCAGGGGTGCAGAGAGCGAAAGTGAGCGTAACCCCTGGCGTGTCGAAGATGGTACATGTTGGGATGGTGAATTGCAGGGGGACTACAGATGGCCTTGTAATACTTTGCCTTGTTATATATCTTCAAATTTTCTTTTGCTAAATTACCAACATGCTACAATATAGGGTCCTTCTCCAGTTGATACATAAAAACATAGTAACCAACCTCACATTTGTTGAATATGCCATGGCCTTCAAAGTAATTGATCTGGACCCCTGGGTTGGGCAGTTAGCAGGGTTTTGCTGTATGCAGATCTCCAGTAACAGTCCCTGAAGCTTATCTAATAGCCTACAGTTAAAATTTAATTTTGATAAATGAAGAAAGCTGTGCCATTAAGTTGTGTGGTAGACCTGACTGTGTACATTGTAGTAGGTTGTAGATAATGTAAGTTTCGGGTACTAATGGGATCAACTATGGCGATGTCAGCTCAAACTCTCGTTAATGTCACCACACCGCCATTGACTTGTAACATTATCATTGCTAGATATATATATATATATAGCATGGTCAATTTAAGGTTGGTAATTTTAAACTGCATGTGGATTTAAGCAACAAGTACCAACAAACAGGGCATCGGAACAAATATGGGTAAGTGTAGGGATCGGAAGTGTGGCTTGTTGTCGACCAGTACGGGTATTGACTGTGCTAGCGATGAACCCTCTCCACTCAAAAGGTCATTTACATAAAACCACACAGACCTTGCCGTCACAATAAACATCCCGTTATGAATCACACCAGAAACAATCACCCAGGTATAAAACCACAAAAGTTGCTCTTTTAAGCCCCATTTACGGATACTTAACTCTGAAGTTGTATGTAAGTTTTAACGCTTCGTTATTTTATACTGTAGTCTACTTATGTTTTCTCGCTTTCAAAATGTTCTCTTTTTGAAATTCAATCTAATGACTTCTACGTGCATTCTGTTACAAGGTGTTTTAACTTTTGGCTGAATTGTATAGTATGCGGGATAGAAATTATAAGTTTATTTTAATGAAAAGTTCTACAATCTGTAATGATCTGCCATATAAAACAATTTACAAATAAATTGAAATTATGAGATATTTCTTGCCATATAGACCAACACTATATTGATATATACTATATATAATATATCAGAGTATCATTTGGTAAATTATTGTAGTTCTGGTTTATTATTTGAAGTGCATGCCAACATTAAAACTTTAAACTGATTAGTTACGAAGTTACCCAAACTTTTTTCAGTAGCTTTAAGAGATTCAGATATATCTTTTTGTCTTATTTCAGTTTGAAACTGAATGTTTTATCTAGCCAGTCTGTTTCTTTCAGGGAAAATCCTGGAGGGGGTCGAAATTGGGGTCAATGACCCCTTAAAACTGAAATTGACCCCTCCATGTTCCAATTTTCTTTAAAATTTACATAGAATGGCCCTTCTTAATTTTAATATTTCAATTTGTAATGTCACTGTACTTTCACTATAGATGTTCGATATTGTACGCAAGTACATGTTCGTGTTACAATTTATCAAATATGCATGTGATGGTGTTATTAAAGACATACACTACATAGCACCCAGGGTATATGATATTGAAAACCTATATAAGCTGGTGTCCATTTATTAAAAAAACACAAATATTATGATAATTTTCTATGGTTTTGTTAAAATCTCATCTGTCTGATCAATGAGTAGAACTATGACTTTTAACCTGTGACATGATCCAGTCAGATTTCACCCATCGCTATACAATGACATGCCAGAAAAATTACCAGCGTTCAAATAACATTGATTCTCTTGTCATAAAAACGGTATAACCACTATAAAATTACCTTTCCGCTTCCTGAATTGTATATTTTGTGGCGAATAAATTCAATAATTGCTGTGGCAGTACACAAGATCTTGTCTGTTGTCTCTAGAATAACATGTCATTCCTGCGGATTAGCATACCAAGCAGTGTTCCGCGTACTTTACTATCTTTGCAATTAAGGATTTTTTTCTTTCTTTTCAGCAGATCAATAATATGCTGACAAAAATCAATCCTCATTTCCTGTCTCAATGACAATTAACTTGTGCATGTGGCATTGCTATAAATTCCTGGTCAATACGGTTATGGGTGGTGCTAGCTAGGTCTTGTGCATTGTTGGATTTTAAGTTTGCTGACTGGCCTGTACATCATTGATAGTGGTACCAGGGTATATATCTTATTCAGGATTGTGCTTGTGCCTGTAGCCATGTGTGTATTTCTTATATGACAATGAAGAAAATGAAGTGTGGAAGTAAATCATTACACGTAATTTCAAAAAAGTTACTTTAACACTAGAATGACAGTTTGATTAACTTATAATGTAGAAAACTTAATTAAGTAGACACAAATTTTATTTTATTATCAAATTTTAATTGATCCTCGCACACAAATGAATTGTCACACTAAAGAGTCTATCTGCTATAGAAAACATTCAGAGAATTTCAATTAGTGTAACGGTTAAAGTGCAAAAAAGGGATAAAATCAGAATATCGCTAAAATTTGCATGTTTGCAGTAATATCAAGTTGCTTAATATGTTAATGCCCCTACTACATGAGATACATGTATATAGATAAATATGTGACACTTAGTACCATAATTATCATAAAAATATGTTGTATTCCCAAACATAATTAAATGCCCAATACTGAGGCCAAAGGTCAAATTATTATATTTAGCCTTTAGTTGTTTCATAATCACAGGATACAGGGCTCTTCTGACGCTTTTAGTTCTAAACAAACATTTCTGATAACTATAACTTTCATTTAAAAATTTAAAAGATCAATAAACAGAATTTGATTTAAACTTAGGAAGGAAGTCTGGGTATTAATAGCAAAGGTTTCTGTCTACAACTTTCCGATTTAATGAGTAAAAGTTAGGGTCGTATTGTTAGCTGATGGTACACATCCTAAAAGTAGGGTTGAATTGTTAGCTGGTGGTACACATCCTAAAAGTAGGGTCGAATTGTTAGATGGTGGTACACATCCTAAAAGTAGGGTTGAATTGTTAGCTGGAGGTACACATCCTAAAAGTAGGGTCAAATTGTTAGCTGGTGGTACACATACTAAAAGTAGGGTCGAATTGCTAGCTGGTAGTACACATCATAAAAGTAGGGTTGAATTGTTAGATGGAGGTACACATCCTAAAAGAAGGGTTGAATTGTTAGCCGGAGGTACACATCCTAAAAGCAGGGTTGAATTGTTAGCCGGAGGTACACATCCTAAAAGTAGGGTTGAATTGTTAGCTGGTGGTACACAATCTAAAAGTAGGGTCGAATTGTTAGCTGGTAGTACACATCCTAAAAGTAGGGTTGAATTGTTAGCTGGTGGTACACATCCTAAAAGTAGGGTCGAATTGTTAGCTGGTGGTACACATCCTAAAAGTAGGGTCAAATTGTTAGCTCGTGGTACACATTCTAAAAGTAGGGTCGAATTGTTAGCTGGTGATACACATTCTTAAAGTAGGGTCGAATTGTTAGCTGGTGGTACACATCCTAAAAGTAGGGTTGAGTTGTTATTTGGTGGTACACATCCTAAAAGTAGGGTTGAATTTTTAGCTGGTGGTACACATCCTAAAAGTAGGGTCGAATTGTTAGCTCGTGGTACACATTCTAAAAGTAGGGCCGAATTGTTAGCTGGTGGTACACTTCCTAAAAGTAGGGTCGAATTGTTAGCTGGTGGTACACATCCTAAAAGTAGGGTCGAATTGTTAGCTGGTGGTTCACATCCTAAATGTAGGGTTGAATTGTTAGCTGGTGGTACACAGTCTAAAAGTAGGGTCACCAATTGTTAGCTGGTGGTACACATCCTAAAAGTAGGGTCGAATTGTTAGCTGGAGGTACACATCCTAAAAGTAGGGTCGAATTGTTAGCTGGTGGTACACATTCTAAAACTAGGGTCGAATTGTTAGCTGGTGGTATACATCCTAAAAGTAGGGTCGAATTGTTAGCTGGTGGTACACATCCTAAAAGTAGGGTCGAATTGTTAGCTGGTGGTACACATCCCCTAAAAGTAGGGTCGATTTGTTAGCTGGTGGTATAACACATCCTAAAAGTAGGGTCGAATTGTTAGCTGGTGGTACACATCCTAAAAGTAGGGTCGAATTGTTAGCTGGTGGTACACATCCTAAAAGTAGGGCCGAATTGTTAGCTGGTGGTACACATCCTAAAAGTAGGGTCGAATTGTTAGCTGGTGGTACACATCCTAAAAGTAGGGTTGAATTGTTAGCTGGTGGTACTCATCCTAAAAGTAGGGTTGAATTGTTAGCTGATGGTACACATCCTACCTTAAGGGCTACAGTAGATTCTATACTATATGAGGCAAGCTCTCACATGGTAAAGTTTTCCTCATTGTTCAATGTCAGCCTTTTAGTTACGAGTCAATTTTCTGCTGAATACTTCTCGACTATAGCTTCAAGAACATACCGACCAAACTTGCTAAAACACAACATGAATTTCTGCTTTATGTTTTTCTTAAGAAATTTAGAAATCTTTTTCATCTTTTCAAATTATTTAGAAATGTTGGTCTTTTGACTGACGCTTCCTGAAAGTGTGAGTTTGTAAAAGCAAGAACGCAAAAGCAGTTAGAGATGTCTATAATAATATCCAGCTCCATGAATTATTCTATTGATTATTGTCTTGCAATTTAAAAAAGGCTGGAAATTGAATGTAAACATTTGTCTGTTGTCCTCTAAATTGTTTGAAACTGTTGGTGTTTTTTTAATTAAACATGTATTATGATTATTGGCCTCATTCATTGCTGTTTCATGACAGCGTGACATGTTTACATATATACACAATTAGTGTGCCATTCCGTTGTCTCACATTTTTCGAATTTGTCAACAACAAGAATAGAATGTTATCAATTTAACATGACAATTATGTTTGTCCCTCTATTATAAATGACCCTGTTTATTACAGAAATGATCAAAATGGTGCCGTCGATCAGACACCCGGGGAGATACAAATTTCTATCAATAACTCATGACGAGTAGTTTTGACTTTCCACTACAGACTGTTGACATATTCGAAAATTTGTTTGAGAAAACGTGGAGTTATCAACTGTTTGGTTTACGACTGAACAGATTGATAAGTTTGTATATTTCACTTGAAGATAGGGCTATTCAGACTATGTATTGATTGTTAATACTTGTTAAGTGGCGCGGGGTGGGGATCAACCAAACAAGGGGGTCCCCAGGTTGTCCCCTGCGGAGGGGTCCAGGAATCATAGCGAGGGATTGAGCTTGGTAGTGTCACTCAGTATAGCGAGACTAATAACGGCTGAGTGGTTAGTAAGTTGTTTTTAATATTTCATTATAAGTGTTTATATAACAAGTCAATCAGTCCACTAAAGATAGAATTCTTATATATCACTTCTTTAATCATTCCGTGGGTCTAGTCATAGAAACTGTTCCTCTTGTGAGATTAGATTGATGTGAATTTGACTCAGGTATAATCAGTAAAGGTTTATGTATAAGCTGAACAGGCCTCTGACGATTCCATTGTATTTATCTTTGTGTTGAATTACTAAATAGCATTCTGTCACTAGTGATGGAAATCTTTGGGTCATCAGGTGCATTAAGTTGGGTTGGAACCATCAGGTCATTTGGTATACTGGTTGTTTGGCTGTCTTCAGTGGCTTTTAAGAATACTTTCTTTTTCTGGTGAATAAATAAAGATGACTCAACTAATGGATACATAATGTGAAGTTTAACTCATTCACCCCTGAAATTTCATAATGAACTATTCCAACCTTTGAATTGGAAGAGTTCAAATGTGTCTTTAGGGGTCAATGCGTTAATGCATTGGCTTGAATACATATATGTTAGCAGGTAGACTTACATTCGGAAGGAGACAATTATTGCATGCAAGATTTTGATATTAAACTTTTGGATTCATTTCAAACCAGGTTTTTCATTTTTCTAAATACTATGTAAAAATAAGTATTCATGATTTGAGTTTATTTGTTATGCCCTCGCATCATTGAAGTGTCTGCCTGCATTAGTCAGTAGAACTAATGTCTATGCTATTAAGACTACTACTGAAAGTGCAACAGTTATCAAACTTCACATCGTAAGGAATATTATGCCTTTATATGAATGTAGGTCACTGTGACCCATTTTTGACTGTTAGTCTTGCCAAACTCAGATTTAGGGAAGGCAAATTGAAACTGAGGGGGTTCAGAGGTGAAACCCTGGGTTGGGGTATTACATTTTTTAGCATGAAAATATTGGGGGTGGGGCTATAGCTCCTTTTTTTGTGTTGGGCAGGGAGTACAGGGGACAGGAATGCATCAAGGTTTACGCTTTAAAGATTTTAATTTGTATTTTAATTTCTTTATTTTAGTTAAATGTATATAAATTACTTATTTGTGTTAAAACAATTCAGATTGACTCTTTTGTACCCATGCAGATCACTACATGTCTGAGATGCATCACTATTCTGGTTTATTACCTATTTCTCATGACATTTAAAGCTGTGCAACAGGTAGGCCCTCAGATAAATCCTATCTGCCTGTTTACTGCTATCTGTAATAGGATAAGGTAAATTGCCCATTTATGACCCGTCGGAATTTTGTCAACAATTTTATTTTGCTAGAAATAACCTCTACCTGAAACACATCCCTATTTTATTGTTGTATTTAATGTCTCGTTATAGATAAATACGTCATAACATTCAATATTCTGGTCTTCGAATAGATCTTCTTTTATCCTAATAATGTCACAGTGTTTTATTGCATTTATTATTAAAAGTTGGCATTTTAAAACTCTTTTAAGTGGTGTGTACTGACTTGTATCTCTAAAGCTCGCCAAAGAATTGTGATGCGGTAGACTTGGTGGAGTTTAATTCTATAGTTCAGAGTTTGTTCCTAATAGATTGTATTCATGTATATCACTGGAGTACTAGGGTTGGATCACTGGGATAGGTACTCGATGAAAGAGAACACTCTTTATTATGCAACAAAAGAATATTTCTGTTGCACTGGTTTAAGTTTGTGATACATTGAAATAAATGATAGAGAATGTTGGTCAGAAAAGTCACATCTGTGTTAATGTATGATCCACGGGAAATATGACCATAGTGTAAAGATATATTTTCTTTTCTGATTTTTTCCCATCAGCTTAATTGTAATCTGAGTAAGTTCATTGATCAATTGTCTGATTAAATTGATTATTTTTCAAATTGATATCAAGGAATATGTTTAATTTCTACCCTAAGAGTTATTATTATGAATTAAATATGTTGGAAACATTATATCAAATGTATCTTAAAGGCACAAAACAGGATATGATGGACCTGCAGTCTGACAGTGACCTTGAAGTGACCTAACCAAACACTAGATCTACCCCCTGTTAAAATCTCTGGTATTCCTGATATTCCAATTAGATCACTGCTAATCTCTATGTACATATATATAGAACTCAGGCTTATTGGTTCGGCCTACCCTACATTGTATATACTTTAACTTAATATATTACAACTTCAATTTATATGCAGTATATGTTTGAAATGGATGCCTTTCTATATAGAAAGAGCTTTAATAGGCAATGCCTGTGCCCAATCCTATTGTTAATTGCAACTATAAAATAATTTTGAAATGAAATGTCTGGGGTCAAGAATAAAAAATATAACTTATTAAATGTAGACATGTGAACATCAGAAAATGGTATCTAATTATATAATGATAGCCTACAGAAATGTTTTATCTAATAGAGTATTATGAAAGAATATAGAGTATTATGAAATTCTTTTAAGAAATTAACTGCTAATTGGAATTTCCCATGCTGTAAGATTTTCTTGTAAAAACCCTTTCATTAATACTTGTTCAAATCCAATGAGAAAATATTGTGTATAACCTATTTACCTAAAACGATTTGATATTATGTTTCCTTAATAAGGGGTTTAAAGCCCTATGACCTCATGTTTACAACTTGTCATGATCAGTGGGTGTATAGCACACAGCTACTTGTTTTCATTCATAAGACTTCTGATTAAATTCCTGACTAAGGACTGTTTTTATCTGACCAAAGCTTATAACCACACAGTACGTCTCAGAACGACCTATTCCTGTGTTAATCTGTGTGGGGTTTTTACCTGTGAGCGAGGTTCCATGTTGACTGTTTATTGTACTGGTAAGGCAACAGAGGCCATATCAGAATGGGTAATGTGATTCAATCCACTGGAAACCTGGGTGTATATATAAGAACAGGTAGACCGATTGATCCTGAAAGTTTGATGAAGTCAGGTGCCCAGTAGCATGGGAGTATAAATGTTTGCCCTACTGCCTCTGTGTTAAAACCCTCTGATACCTGGCAGTCAGCTGTGTGTGATTTAACTCGCACAGGTAATTTCTCTTTACAGAAAGCAATAAGTCACTGGGGATTGATAGCGGCCCACTAGAACTATAACAGGAGCCAGGCATACCATCACCTGGGAGATTGTATCGTAACCTGCAGGTCATACCCTCTTCTGCCTGATTGACAGCTCCTGTAGATGAGCAGAACCAATCACATACCACTTTTCTAGGATCAAAAGCCAAACTCGTGGAGACGGAACTGCCCAACATACTGGATTATACATCATCAAAACATTAGTATGTCACCAACAGCTGAAACTTTCAGCTACTCTTTGCCGAGTCGGACGCACTCCAACGATAGTGAGAGGTTTGCTCAGCAAGCCACCTCAGCTGTAAGCTTCCAGGCTGCCTCACACAATGAACCATTGAGAGAGGATAAAAGAATGAAGAGTAAAATGTCTGTAGCATCCGTCAGCATTCCTGGGGACAAGGAGTACGAGGAAAATGGAATAGACGATGATCACTTGGACCTCGATCCGGAACTCCGAGCTCGTTTTTTCAAGAAGGAACCTTGTCTGTACAGTCACCAGTGTTTTATCAAGGCTGCCAAAGTTTTCTCTGCGCTCAAACATGACAGTAAGGATGAAAGAGAAAATCCCTACCTTAAGCGTAAAAACCATGATGCGCTGAAAAGTAAAGTGCAGGATATACCAGAACTGAATTTCCAAGATGATATGGAAAAGAGGCTTTCCTTTGAGCTGGCCTTCAAAGCCTTAAAATGTAAGTATTGAACAAATTTTTGTTTTAAATACAGTGTGAATGGTTGGTGAATTATTGCATGTTTTAATTGTAGATATTTCTATGCTTTAAACACCTTACAATGTCGACAGTATACTGGATAAATGACAACCTTTATGACCACTGATTATCCTATCAGAGGGTTGAATTGTTTGACTTGTTAGCTGTCTATGGCAAGTTTAAGCTTAACTAACTGTTAAGACTACTCTATCATGACCACATTGTTAGTGCTAACAACTTTTCTGAACTTAACCTGTCTAAAATGACCATATGTTCAGTGTGTGATAACCTGTGTAATACAACCCTGAGTTCAGTGTTTGAAAACCTGTGTAATACAACCCTGAGTTCAGTGTTTGATTACCTGTGTAATACGACACTGAATTCAGTGTTTGATTACCTGTGTAATATGACCCTAAGTTCAGTGTTTGACAACCTGTGCGATATGACCCTGAGCTCAGTGTTTCATTACCTGTGTAATATGACCCTGAGTTTAGTGTTTAATTACCTGTGTAATACGACACTGAATTCAGTGTTTGATTACCTGTGTAATATGACCCTAAGTTCAGTGTTTGACAACCTGTGTAATATCACCCTAAGTTCAGTGTTTGATTACCTTAGTAATATGACCCTTAGTTCAGTGTTTGCTTACCTGTGTAATATGACCCTGAGTTCAGTGTTTGATTACCTGTGTAATAGACCCTAAGTTCAGTGTTTGAATACCTGTGTAATATAACTTGAGTTCAGTGTTAGATTACCTGTGTAATATGATCCTGAGTTCAGTGTTTGATTACCTGTGTAATATGACCCTGAGTTCAGTGTTTGATTACCTGTGTAATATCACCCTAAGTTCAGTGTTTGACAACCTGTGTAATATCACCCTGAGTTCAGTGTTTGATTACCTGTGTAATATCACCCTGAGTTCAGTGTTTGACAACCTGTGTAATATCATCCTAAGTTCAGTGTTTGATTACCTTAGTAATATGACCCTTAGTTCAGTGTTTTATTACCTTAGTAATATGACCCTTAGTTCAGTGTTTTATTACCTGTGTAATATGACCCTAAGTTCAGTGTTTGAATACCTGTGTAATATGACTTGAGTTCAGTGTTAGATTACCTGTGTAATATGACCCTAAGTTCAGTGTTTGATTACCTTAGTAATATGACCCTTAGTTCAGTGTTTTATTACCTGTGTTATATGACCCTAAGTTCAGTGTTTGAATACCTGTGTAATATGACTTGAGTTCAGTGTTTGATTACCTGTGTGATATGACCCTAAGTTCAGTGTTTGACAACCTGTGTAATATGACTTGAGTTCAGTGTTAGATTACCTGTGTAATATGACCCTGAGTTCAGTGTTTGATTACCTGTGTAATTCAGTCAGGTGCCTGACCTTGGACCTTGCATTTAGAAAGAGAGTTGCTTCACTGTATTTAATTTAGACAACCTATATCTGCATTCATTATTTTCAAATATTCAAATGTTTTTTTTAGGGATGACAAATATGAAACCCTTGAAGTCAAACATTTGTGACTGTCAAACCCCTGTGGTTAAATAACAGACATTTATGGCTGTCAAACCCCTGTGGCTAAATATTAGATATTTGTGGCTATCAAACCCCTGTGGCTAAATGTCAGACCTTTGTCTGTCGAACCCCTGTGGCTAAATATCAGACATTTGTGGCTCAAACCCCTGTGGCTAAATGTAAGACATTTGTAGCTGTCAAACCCCTGTGGTTAAATATCAGACATTTGTAGATGTCAAACCCCTGTGATTAAATGTCAGACATTTGTAGATGTCAAACCCATGTGATTAAATGTCAGACATTAGTAGATGTCAAACCCCTGTGACTAAATGTCAGGCATTTGTGTCTCAAACCCCTGTGGCTAAATGTAAGACTTTTGTGGCTGTCAACCCCCTTTGGCTAAATGTCAGACATTTGTTGCTGTCAAACCCCTGTGGTTAAATATCAGACATTTGTAGGTGTCAAACCCCTGTGATTAAATATCAGACATTTGTAGATGTCAAACCCCTGTGATTAAATGTCAGACATTTGTAGATGTCAAACCCCTGTGATTAAAAGTCAGACATTAGTGGCTGTCAAACCCCTGTGGTTAGATATCAGACATTTGTAGATGTCAAACCCCTGTGATTAAATGTCAGGCATTAGTGGCTGTCAAACCCCTGTGGTTAAAAGTCAGACATTTGTAGATGTCAAACCCATGTGATTAAATGTCAGACATTAGTGGCTGTCAAACCCCTGTGATTAAATGTCAGACACTTGTTGCTGTCAAACCCCTGTGGTTAAATGTCAGACATTTGTAGATGTCAAACCTATGTGATTAAATGTCAGACATTAGTGGCTGTCAAACCCATGTGATTAAGTGTCAGACATTTGTTGCTGTCAAACCCCTGTGGTTAAATGTCAGACATTTGTATATGTCAAACCCATGTGATTAAATGTCAGACATTTGTTGCTGTCAAACCCCTGTGGTTAAATATCAGACATTTGTAGATGTCAAACCCCTGTGATTAAATGTCAGACATTTGTAGATATCAAACCCCTGTGATTAAATGTCAGACATTTGTAGATGTCAAATCCCTGTGGCTAAATGTCTGACATTAGTGTCTGTCAAATCCCTGTGGTTAATTGTCAGACATGTGTGGCTGCCAAACCCCTGTGGCTAAATGTCAAACATTTGTGGCTGTCAAACCCCCATGGTTAAATGTCAAAGCTTGTGGTTTGAAATGTTCGGCTTTTGTAGTGTGACGATTCCATCTTTCATCTACTACCAAACCTATGTGGTCCAAAAATATAGATATTTGTATTAATTAATGTGATTGTCACTTATTGGATTATGAATAATTAAGGCAAAATCATTGGAACTAATAACTGGAGTTAGTATGGGGACAAACTATTGAACATATATATAATAATATGAGTATAAGCTTTTGATCAGTCTCAAATGAATGCCTTCCTCAACATATGTCCCTGGATACACATATCGAGTGAATGGGATTAGAATATTCATTCAGAACATATCCCTAAGCTGTTACATGTCTATAAGCCTGTGCTTCTAATCAATTAGCTGTAATGATTGACTTTAATATAAAAACTTACACGAGAGTACTTAAGTATGTGGTGCCAAGTGTACAGTCAGGTTGTATTGACTTATTGCTACTGTTCAGGTTCAGTCGATTCAATGCAATCGTGAACCTCAATCCGCTGTCATTGGCTTTAAGCTGTCACCAGCTTTCCATTTTAAGGTATCTAAAAAAGATAACATAAAAGATGATTAATTAGAAGACATATATTTTATTAATGGACAGGAAAATAAGTTGGAACATGAACACGATTCAATTTGAAGATATGAATTGATATACATTTTAAGGATTGAGTTTTAAGTGAATATTAGTTTTGGCTGAACTAATTTGTGACTGTCATCACCTGTCACCAAAACAAAATCGCGTAAATCTGTCATACTTAATGAAACAATTTACCATATTTCACAAATAGTATCACCACATGGTAAAACCAAAAAGTCTGCACTTAAAAACTAAAATGCTTTAAGGCTTCAACAGGTGCGTTTACAAGTTTATACTTGTTGCAAGGGTGCTTTTATATGAAATCTGTAAGAAACGTAAAAATGGAGACAGGGTACTGGTTTGACATAAATAAGAGCTCCCTGGTACGTACAGTATTATGTACTATAGAAGAGACGTTTCTGAGTGTGATTCATGCGTACATACACATAAAAATAAGTCAATTTACTGAGTGCATTAGTTCCACCATTTAATGTATCACCATTCACGGATATGTAATATCACATCTGTGGCCATTAGGTCGTTTATAATCCTTTACGAGGTATTACAAAAACATATGTAACTAGTATATATACATAACTATCTTTAAACATGGCCAAAGTCAGACTATCGTAGTGACATAACCTTTAGACACCGAACGTTGACCTCTAAGTCAGCATTACATCACCTGGCCCTCAGTGTAGGACAACAATAGGAAGGAACATGTTGGTAACAAACTTGAAGGAATAAAGGTTTAGTGTGAAAGTTTTAAATGATAATAAATGTACGTTGAGATCCTGTGACTGTGACGGTGACATATATACAGGTCAGGTTGTACAAACCAAACTTATATATATGTGTGAAAGCAATTATCCAGGTTTATGTAAATTCATGCTAATTTTCAAGCGTTTTAGACATCAAGGAGTGCTATCTCTGGCACCGACTTTCACAGTTCAGACATTAAATTCAAATTCAAATTGTGGTTGAGTTTGAATCTGAGAACTGAATGGAACATGGAAACGTCTTGGCCCATTATCATGCAGATATAATCTTACAACCTGATATATAGCACATGGAAGATGTTTGAAAAATCAATATAATTTGTACATATATGCACAATTCTTTTGAGAAATACTGTCAACATGCATGTACACAGCTTAATGTGATCAGTACCTAGTCATAAACCGCGTAAATGACAATTTATCAGCCAGATAAATACAATTACCAAACATTCAATGAATCTTTCCTCAACATGTATTAAAAATATTACAGTTTTAAAATCAATTTAAGCATTGAACCCTTATATTGTAAATGTCCATTACAGAAATGATGTTTTCCGTGTGAAGTTTATTATTGGGACGATATTCTGACTGGTCGCGTCTCGTTTTATCTGTCGTCTAGTCTAGATTCGTCGTATAGCAATGGTCAATCATCCTTTTATGGCTCGGCCAAGCGTGTAATAAATGCGATATATAGGGTCAACTAGACATGAAAGGAAATGGGGCCATAAACGTGGCCATATTGAACCTGTATAATGATTGGTACCTGTTAAACATCAATAAGTTACCATCAAACCCATCATAGGACCGGCAATCAATAGTGTTAGTTATTTTCCTCATATTTATATATATGTACATTATAATAGCTGGTTGGGGCGTTATGTTTGTGATTTAATACAAGGT